AAAAAAAAAAAAAAGAATGGGATGGGAGGGTTATATTATCAAGGTACCTTATATAATTTGGTGGGAGGGAATAACAAACATCTTTTTATAACCCTTGGAAAGTAGCAGTTAAATTCTGAATGCATGCTGTTATTCTCCTTACAGGTTCTTTCAAACTAGTCCACAAGTTGTTTAATAATCCACCAAGAAAACCCTGAATACAGTTAAAAAATGTAAATGGGTGTGGTTCTAATTAAAAGAGTGAAAGCGTTTTTATTTACTTAAATTATTGTAAATAATAAAAAGTAACATTCTTGGGAGTTATGTGTAGGTGAGGATTTTTCTGTTAGATTGGAGAACAAATCAACTAATCTTCCAGGAAAAGTTTAGCCTTTGACTCAAGGGCAAGGATTTCCATATCTCTGGGATGACTTATATGCCTTGAATTTATAGGATTTGTGCTGGGTGTGGTGGCTCATGCCTGTAATCCCTGCACTTTGGGAAGCTGAGGTGGGCGGATCACCGGAGATCGGGAGTTTGAGGCCAGCATCACCAACATGGAGAAATCCCGTCTCTACTAAAAATACAAAATTAACCAGGTGTGCTGGTGCATACCTGTAATCTCAGCTACTCGGGAGGCTGAGGCAGGAGAATTGCGTGAACCCCAGAGGTGGAGGTTGCAGTGAGCCAAGATAGCACCACTGCACTCCAGCCTGGGCAAGAAAATTGAAACTCAGTCTCAAATTAGATAGATAGATAGACAGATAGATAGATAGATAGATAGATAGATAGATAGATAGAAAAAGAAGAAAGGAAGAAAGAAAGGGAAGGAAGAAAAAGAAGGAAGGAAAGGAGGGAGGGAGGAGGGAAAGGTGGGGGAGAGAGAGAGTGAGAGAGAAAGAGAAAGAAAGAGAAAGAGAAAGAGAAAATATAGGATTTGTATTATAGAAGCACCAAAACTGGAGAGGGCTCCAAGTCTGAGTTGTAGGGATCAGGTGAAAAGCAGGCAGGGGTTGAGAGAGATGACTTATCGTTATTCTGATATAGGAGAAATTAGTGGACAGAGTTCATCCTTAAGTGAAAGGCATTGTGAGAGAAAAGTGTTTTTGACAAAAAATATCCTTCCTGGTAAGGCATCATCTATAGACCTCTTGGTTCAACTGGATAATTTGCTATAGGATTTGTTATATATCATGGGATCTTCCAGGAAACTGGAATTTAGATCACTCCCACTAATGTGTGTTTGTTTAAGGGTAGAGGGCAGATCCTGGTACACTCCCCACAGAGGACGACTTTGGATAGCAGCCACAGCCAAAAAACCCTCTCCTCAAGAAGTCTCAGAACTCCAGGCTACATATCGTCTTCTTCGTGGGAAAGGTAACAGTTGTATGTTCTCCTTTCAATTTTACTTTGTGGAGAGAAGTCATTGACATTCATCTTCTTTCAATTCCTTCTTCCTTTGGCTTTTTTGTCGTTAAAAGGGACTTTTTTTTTTTTTTTTTTCTTTTGGGACGGAGTTTTGCTCTTGTTACCCAGGCTGGAGTGCAATGGCACGATCTCGGCTCACCACAACCTCCGCCTCCTGGGTTCAGGCAATTCTCCTGCCTCAGCCTCCTGAGTAGCTGGGATTACAGGCACGCGCCACCATGCCCAGCTAATTTTTTCTATTTTTAGTAGAGACGGGGTTTCACCGTGTTGACCAGGATGGTCTTGATCTCTTGACCTCGTGATCCACCCGCCTGGGCCTCCCAAAGTGCTGGGATTACAGGCTTGAGCCACCGCGCCCGGCCTAAAAGGGACTTTTAATCTTTGTATTTGTTTGTTTGTTTGGTGGTAAATCATTGACAGCTTTGAAAGCATTAATCTGTCAAACAGTGCAAATAAAAATATCAATTTCCAACACAAGAAACCAACTAGTGTTAATTTTTTTATCTGAGAAAATCAACATCATCTTTATTCTGAAGGCAAAATGACTACTGTAAACTCTGGGATCCTTACTTTGGGAAAACAACCAAACAGGAATTTTTATTCAGAGTGGCCTAAATAGACACCTACTACTGGATTTGGGCATCAAAGTTGATTTACTTAAGCAACTTATTTCGGGAATCACCCCAAGAATACTAACTTTGGATCCTTAAGAAGACTCCTGACCTTTGGGCGTCCTGTTTTTCCTTCCTCTTATCCAGCTCATACAGTTGTTTTGAAGGTAGAATAAAAGGATAACTATGCAACCATCTTTAAACATTTCTAAGAAACAGCCTCAAAGAATCACTAGGAATAAAAAGTGCATGCTTCCTTTCTTGGCTGGGTACCGTGGCTCAGGCCTATAATCTTAGCGCTTTGGGAGGCCAAGGAGGGCAGATCACCTGAAATTGGGAGTTTGAGACCAGCCTGACCAACATGGAGAAACTCCATCTCTACTAAAAATACAAAATTAGCTGGATGTGGTGGCACATGCCTGTAATCCCAGCTACTCAGGAGGCTGAGGCAGGAAAATTGCTTGAACCTAGGAGGCAGAGGTTGCGGTGAGCTGAGATCATGCCATTGCCTGGGCAACAAGAACGAAACTTTGTCTCAAAAAAAATTTGAGACAGAGTCTCGTTCTGTCACCCAGGCTGGAGTGTAGTGGCATGATCTCTCTTCACGGCAACCTCTGCCTTCCAGGTTCATGTGATTCTCCTGCCTCAGCCTTACGAGTAGCAGGAACTACAGGCGCATGGTACCACACCTGGCTAATTTTTTGTGTTTTTAGTAGAGACAGGGTTTCACCATGTTGGCTGAGGCTGGTCTTGAACTCTGACCTGAAGTGATCCGCCTACCTTGGCCTCCCAAAGTGCTGGGGTTACAGATGTGACCCACCTCACCCAGCCTAAAAGCACATTTCTATTTCGATTGATATCACTGGCTTGTTTTAAAGACATTTATTTTTATGGTTTTAACCACATTTTAATTTTTTTTCCCTTGTCATCTGTAACTGCCTTTCTTTGCTTCCAAAACTCATCACTACCAAACTCCAATCTGATAAAATTGCATACAGTAGAATTGATTTGTTTAGAATGAGTTTCTGGGGTCCTTGAACTTTGATGGTATGAGGGCAAAGGAAAACTTTTCTAGCTTAGCATGTAGATAATGGCCTAAGTGAGCCAAACACTAGATTTTTTTGCTAAAATACAATAGTTGTGCCAAGTAAATCTCACTGTTTTTCTTATGTGTACAAATAGATAATGGAAAAAGTTATTAATATTTGTTCAGAATTGAAAACAGATTCCTGAGGTCCAAGATCACAAAGAAGGAAATTTATTCAATCCTTTTGTTATTCCTGATTCAGATGTGGAATTTCCTAATGACTATCCATCAGGTTGTCTACTGGGCTGTGTGGACCTAATTGACTGCTTGTCCCAGAAGCAATTTAAGGAGCAGGTAAGTAAAGAGTACTTTTTTTCTTTAAGTAGAGACAAGGTTTCGCCATGTTGGCGAGGCTGGTCTTGAACTCCTGACCTCAAGTGATCCTCCCACCTTGGCATCTCAAAATGCTGGGATTGGGCCGGGCGCGGTGGCTCAAGCCTGTAATCCCAGCACTTTGGGAGGCCGAGGCGGGTGGATCACGAGGTCAAGAGATCGAGACCATCCTGGTCAACA